TTTTCTCTTTTTTTTTTTTTTTTTTTTTTTTTTTTTTTTTTTTTTGTTGTTGTTGTTGTTGTTGAAGTTTTAAGTTTTAATTTAAGTTTTTTTTCTTCTTTTTCCCTTTATTGTTCCTCTTCTTCAACTTCAGTCCCACCAATTTACTTGGCATCACGAGAAGAGAATTTCTGTTAAGCAAACCGTGTCACTAACATCTCCTCATCTCTACTACCCACATCTAGTTTTCATTCAGAAGGACATGGGTTTACAGCACAAGTTCTTGGTCTAACTCCTTTCAGAAGATGAATGATCTGAACCTTCCTTGGTATTTACTTGGTCTGTACCATTATCACCATATGGCTGTGCGTGCATACTCAAATTTCCAGATGGCCTACTACTTTGGTGTGCATCAACATGAACAGCACCCTGCCCACCTTCAGATACTCTATGATTAGTATTCTCTAGCGCAATAGTTTGAACACCAGCTGCCAACATATCCTGATTGGAACTTCCTGGGCTTAATGGGCCTGCAACATCAGGAATTTCACCAGGTCGAATAATCCATCTGTCATAATCATTACGCCTCCTTACCGTCTCTCCCTAAGAGCAAGCAAAAAAGAAAAGAAAAAAAAGCGTTCATATATACAAGAATTAGAGAAAAATGATTTGAAATTTTACTTGTCTATCCCCATCACTACTATTACTACATTTTAAGGATGCAAATCCATTTAGCAGCGAGTTTTCTCAACTTAAAATCTCCAATTATAGATAGAGGAAAAGGCTCGTTCAGGAGCTGATGACTACTGACCTTTACTTCCACAAGTGAAGATGATTGCAATGCATCCAATATAATTGGGATACTTTCAGTCAGACGTTTAACCTACAAAAGAGTGCCCAGATGACATATTCTGAAGGATAAAAACAACATTATGCATTCTGGTCCCCAGATTTATTCATATAACCTCCATTATAAGTTACATGATTAGCAATATAAAAAGAAAATATGGTTATAGAATGATGGAAGAAATTATAGAAGCTACATGATAGAAGTCATTCTTCACAATCATCTCAGAAAGCACAGAACCACCGACATTGCAGTCAATCATGCAAGTACTTTTTTTATGGAAAAGAACTGCTTTCATCAAGGAGAACGGAAGTAGAAAAGAACAAAAAAGAAAGGGGAAAAAATAACAAAACCGAGCAAAAGGAGGCACACAACAAAAGCTCAAATAGTAATTCCAAAAGTGTACTCAAAACTCTTCCTTTCTTCTTCTTCTCTTACTAGACCACACACTACAATTATTTATAATAAAAAGACAAATGAATATTAATAAAACTGAATATTAAAGCCACATTGAGAAGCATCTAAGTTTAATTTATGTAACAAAGGCTTCAAGATACTTCAAGTGGGGCTTCATTTATTCTTAAATGGTTACAAATTTATGAGGATGATAATTTAGAGTTATTGTATTTCATTAATGTATTTTAAGACTTTGTTTACTTTAAAGTTAGATTTACATAGTGGCTAATTATATCATAAAGTATACATAGTGGCTAATTATGGTCATAAAGTACGAAAGTTACAAACTCTTGAAATGTCTCATAGAAGGTCAAGAGTTTCATTTTGAGACTATATAAAGTCAAGTATGTTATCTATGTAAAGGGGATTTGGAAAATGTAGTAAAAGGAACATTTGTGCTTTCTTTTAGCCAATAGCTAAGTTTCTTTGCAATTCTATATAGTTTAGGTTGCGTATAGAATCATTCAAGCTTGACATGATCAATCTTGCTTGTGGAGTGATTCGAATTTCAAACAATTGTTCTTTCCTTAAGATATTTGATCAACAAGATAATCTGAATTTTACGTGATTCTTTATCATTAGGGTCAAGTGTCTTACCTTTCCTTTGCAATTCTATATAGTTTAGATTGCATGTTTAGAACAACATTCAAGCTAGACATGATCAATTTTTCTTGTGGAGTGATTCGAATCTCAAACAAGTGTTCTTGCCTTGAGATATTTAATCAACAAGGTAATTTGAATCTTACTTCCCTTGTAGTGATTCCTTATAAAATACACTAAGTTTCATTCCTTATAAAATACACTAAGTTTCATTCCTTATAAAATACACTAAGTTTCAAGAGGGCCAACTTAGCTACTTTAAGGGGAGAAATAAGGTCTCAAACTCCACGTTACATTGACAATGAAACACTTATCCCAACTAATTTAATGCTAGAAGACTAACTTAAGTATGTGAAGAATCCTACTAAAATGGACAAAGGGCTCTTCCCTAGTACAGAAAAAGATGGTATCACCAACACTGAGTAAGATGCACTGTACCTTCAGCCACCCCACAATAATCGGTCAAGCCTCTAACATCTCCCTTGTAATAAAGCTATTAAGAATGTTTATTCTTAGTAAGAAACTGAGCTTACAAAAAACAAACCCACCAACAAAAGAGAGTCCAAAAGCTAATTACAGAAACGAACTCCAATACAACAAACCAAGATCATAATTATAAAAGGGGTTAGTACTGATGACTACAAAGACCTTAGGGAGAAGAAAACTACGATCTCCCTTTAATGAGATGGAAAAGTTATCGAAGTACAAGAATGGCCTACTCAAGTTCTAAATTGAGACAAAAACTATCCAGAAATCCCAGTCGACATGACCATAACATTCTCAAAATCAATCTTCTTAAAGATGACCAACAGATAGTGAGGTCTATAATAACCCTCAACCTCATCTGATAAAGACGCCGTCTAAGCCTTCAACATTCTCTTAGTCAAAGACTAAGAAATGATATTTTTCAAGGCTTGTCACTAAGCTGTCCGGCCTAAAACCCTTAATATCACTCATGATCAAGTATTGATCCATATCTCATAAAATCATTGAATAACTTAAGCAAATCACTCTTAAAAATGTCCCAACGCCCATTTGTAAATGAAATACAATTAAATATCTATAACACATCACATCACAATGTCAACATTTCCGTCCATATCCCACACCAATCATGTCATTGACATAAAATTCTTGAAAAAAAATAAAACATGCATGCTATATTTAACTAATGTTCTCTGGCATAGCTCCTTTTCCACAAAGTGCAAAAAATGTGTGACATGCAGGATGAAGGTTCATAAAATGAAGGGAAATGACATATGCAGGATGAAGGTTCATAAAATGAAGGGAAATGACATAACAATCATACAAGGAAGCTACAAAAATTAACACCTGTACTTCATTGACCATAGGGTAAAGCTACGTAAAAATTCAGCCTCCTCGTGTCATCAGACACAAAATTCTATTCTAAATTCACTCTGATGCTACAAATCGATATCTTTAATCAGATAAATTTGTATCTCCAAAATCAGAACCAATATTTTAATTCTCCAGCTATTTCAGTAATCAACTAATTCTATTTTGTTCTTGCTGTAGCAGCCTTTTTTTCCTTTGTGAGATGCACTATTGACATATTTAATAAATCATAAAGAGACATTTTGAGAACCAAGTCTAAAAAAATCTGATTTAAAAAAAAAAGTTCTTTTTTTTTTTTTTTAATCAAAGGAGTTGACATGATATATATTTTTAAAAATGTTTCCGGAACCCAAAAAATACAGAAGAGAAACAACATTCAGGCAGAGGTGCAACAATTTTTATTATAAGTTCTCTATGCCTACACAGCTTATATATAATGTTCGTCTAATTTCCTAAGAAAATTTGATATATATGTAGAAGTAAAAGAAAGCAGGAAAAAAATATCTTCCAAACAGTTTTCAAATCAGAAAAACACTCTAGAAAAATTACTCGGGCAAAATGACTTTTCATAACATTTTTTTAGAAAATGTACAATATAGCAGAAAGTAAATGGAAATTCCAAGAACGATTGCAAAAATTTCATTAGAACTTTTCTTTAGAACAGTTCCAAAGGAACGCAGAGTAAAAAGTAAAGGAACACATTTTAAAATTTTTTTGAAAAGCTCAAGTGATTGCAGTTTTTCGGAATCATTCTGTAAACAGTTTTTCCTAAAAATATTTAACAGGGAAAACATGCATAGACACTGCACAAGGCAGAAACCTAACAGAAAATGAAGATCATCTGGACATCCTAGTA